AAGGCCCAGGAGAATGGCTTGGCTGAAATAGGTGTGGGGAGGCTGAGGAGGGGTGGCCCTTCTGTGTGTCTTGGCCTTGTTCTTGTCCTTCTTACCTCTTGTAGCCGATGTGTGTGGCCGTCCCCAGAGAGCACTGACTGATCAGTGGGCCTGGCTAAACCTCAGGGCCATCGTTGCGGCTGGGGGGAACATTGAAAAAGTGTGCGATAACGAATGTTAATGGCGATAGAGAAGTAGAGAAAAGAAACCAGGGAGAAACCCACTGAAGTCATAGGAGCAGAGAAGTGACAGGGAGTGCTGAGGAGCACTTCCCTCTCGGTGCTCACCGTAGAGGTACCTGCAGAGCTGATGAGTGCTGCATGGTTGTAACCCTGTGACCAGACAAGTCGATGGAAATTCTCCCTCACGTGCCAAGTTACTCGGAGCTGTAAACACCCAGCTTGGCCAGGGTCAAGCGGAGCTGGAGGAAGAAGCCCTGTCCCAGAATGGAGTGGTGATTTTTAGTTTTATTTTTTTAAACTAATCCGGGCTCTAAACTGGGATTTCCAGGCTTAGCATCCAGAAATTGAGAGAGAGTTTGAATGCAAGGTTTACAAAAGCTGATGCTTTCCTGACAGTGTTTGGTCTCCAGACTTTTTGTTTTTCAAGGTAGCTGCTGGATTTAGGAAAACACTGGTGTTTCTTTCTTCCCGAAAGTAGAGATTTTATTGTATGCTGACTAGGTCTTTAGCAAATAACTTGCAACTCCATCTAGGAAACGCTTTTTTGCTCAGATGTGGGAAGAGGTGGGCTGGCTGTGCCCTTCCTCTGCCTCCCAAGTGCTCTGCCCACTGTGTTTGGTGGTGGTGCTGCTGGAAGCTGTGCCATGAGACAGAGTGGGGAACTAAGCCACCTGAAAATTAGTTAGATAAAAATTGCTTTTCGCCTAGTTTAATCCCCCGAACTGCCCAATGCAGAGCCATGTCACTGCTGCTGTCAGCCCCAGAGTTTCTGTAGGTAACAAAGTGTAGAGTGTGGGTTGGGGACAAATCATAGAATCATTGAGGCTGGAAGAGACTAAGATCATCAAGCATGAACCAAACACTACCATGACCATTAAATCATGTCCTGAAGTGCCACAGCTTCATATATTCTGAACCCCTCCAGTGATGGGGACTCCACCACCTCCCCGGGCAGCCTGGTCCAGTGCCTCACCATTCTTCCAGGAAAGAAATTCTTCCCAATATCCAGCCTAAAACTCCCCTCGTGCAACTTGAGCCCATTTCCTCTCATCCTGTCTCTGGTTCCTTGGGAGAAGAGACCAACCCCCACTTCACTCCAGCCTCCTTTCAGGGAGTTGTAGAGTGCAATAAGGTCTCTCCTCAGCCCCCTCTTTTCTAGACTGAACAGCCTCAGTTTCCTCAGCTTCCTTTGGTGGCAGGCGTGGTCTAGTCTAACATAAAACTGACCATTTAACCAGTATCTCATTGCACCTTAAGTGCTTTGGGAAACTTAGAGACACATTGAAGAGCTTAAAACATAAACTTTTGCATCTGTGTTGTCAGACTAATCATCAAGTACCATGATGTAATGAGCAGTTTCCAGACCTGAGTTTCATTCAACATTCTGTGCTGCAGCCTAACTGCACAGAGTGCTCTGTAGGACTTGGGGTGTTTGAAGTTTGGCTAGCTGGGTGTTAAATACAAAAAAAAAAAACAAACAAACAAACAAACAAAAAACCCCAAACCAAACCAAACAGAGAAATGGAAGAGACTTACTGTGGTCTCTTTAATGATTTACATTATTATTGATCCAACAGTGACTCTGCTGTGACTTAATCAAAGTTAGATGATCAGCAGTACAAACACTGCTTAGAATGTGTTGCTTTAAGTGTCTTCCAGCCTGACTGCAGACTAGTTAGCAACAGGACGTTGCTCCTTCTGTACTCTTCAGCTTAGATGAGAAAGACTTTGTAAGGTCAAATGGATCCATGCAAGTGACGCAGGGATGTGATCGTGCTCCTGGAGCTGAGCAGTGAACTCTCCCAGCAAGGATTCCGAGCCTTGTGGCTCTGTCTTATCCCTGGCCAAGTGTTAAGAAAGCAGAGTGAGCTTAAGTGCTGCACACTCTTCAGTATGTGAATTAAATGAAGTCACCTTACACAGAAAACTTTCAGACTATTTGTGGGGCCTGCCTAGAGCTGTGCTCTGCAAAAACCCCATTAACTGCTTTTTGGATAGTTTTTTCCCCTAGAAAAGAGCCATCTCAGTTTTTCCTCAAGAATCACCTGCTCAGTTGTTTGTAACTCTGCAATCTTATGTTTTCTAGATATTCATCCCCAAAGTAGTTTGACTAAACATATCATGGATTGTTTTCAGGAGAAAAGACGTGGCCGTGGAAGATACGGAGGCAGGAAGTGTGGCCGAGGTCACAAAGGAGAAAGACAAAGAGGAAATCGCCCCCGGCTGGGCTTTGAGGGTGGCCAGACTCCATTTTACTTGGTGATACCCAAGTATGGGTTTAATGAGGGACATAGGTGAGTTTCTTTACATTTACTCAGAAATTCAGCATTGTCTGCTTGTCTTGATATTTCTCCTTTGTTTCCCAAGGTAGTCTGGACATCACCTGGGTCATGAGCCATTTTGTTGCTTTTGGGTACAGTCAAGAAAACTTCTGTCCCCATACAACGCTGCTGCAGGCAGTGGTACCAGAACCACACCTAGCAGGCAGTTCAAGGATGAAAAGACTCACGTGTATTTGTTTCTGAATTGTCAAATTTGCAGTTTGATTTCATATTTTATTTGCTGATACAGCTACGTCAAAGAGTCGTGCCTTTTTCTGGCTCCATTCTTCATGCATGCAGTGGAACTTGCAGACTAGTCCTGGTTATGAAAGGTTTTTCCCTGTGAGTTTTAGCTAGTTTTGAAGGGTGAATGAAACTTCATTTCCAAGTACTGTAATTTTTTCCTGTTTGACAAGTTATTTTAAGATTAAATGAGAAGCACTTTCGATAGCTGAAGGCAGAATGGAGTTCTACAGTCCTACAAAGGAAATGCTGCAGAATGCAAACACTGAGCTTCTTAACAGTGGTCACAATTTCGTAAATAACCAATGGCAAAAATCCAAACATCTGCGATGACAAGGAATTGATTGTGACAGCATGGGAGTGGGCTGAACAAAGTCCATGTTCGTTTTCACCTCTCTCCTCTGCAGTGATGTTCCTCTACTTCTTGAACTTCTCTAACAGGAACTGTCTGACAGCACAAATTCTGTTGCTTGTCTTTCTTAGTTAACCTGCCAGTAACAGAAATAAGATTCCTCTCAGTTTTGTAGCAACAGGACATGGGGCAATGGTTTTAAAATAGAGCAGGGGAGATTCAGTTAGACATTAGGAGGAAGTTATTTACTGTGAGGGTGGTGACACTGGCACAGGCTGCTTAGAGAGGTGGTGGAGGCCCCATCCCTGGAGACATTCCAGGTCAGGCTTGTTGGGGCTCTGAGCAACCTGCTTTATTTGCAGATGTCCCTGCTTACTGGAGAGGGTCTGGACTAGATGATCTTTAAAGGTGCCTTACAACCCAAAGCATTGTATGGTTCTATGAGATTCCATTTAATACTTGTGAGATGTCAGGTACAGTGGTAAAGAACTAAAAAATGTTGTTGGGTAGAAGTGAGTGGTGCAGGAGCTCAGCAACACCAAAATACTTCATGGCCTATTGGAGGTGGGAGCGTGTGAGCAAACCTGAATTCATGATGGAGTCTTGGGCTGTAACTGGGGCTTGTATTTTCATTTCTCACTGTTTGGGTTTTGTAACACTCCTCTTCCTCTCCCCAGCCGCAGACGTCGGTATCAACCGCTCAGTCTTCAGAGGCTGCAGTACCTGATTGATTTGGGTCGAGTTGACCCCACGCAACCCATCGACTTAACACAGCTCACTAATGCCAGAGGTGTGACAGTGCAACATCTCAAGAGGGATTATGGAGTCCAGCTGGTGGAGGAGGTATGCCCAGGAGACATTTCATGTCTCTTTACGTAAAGCCTTATTTTTTCCTAAAGTTTTTTTTATACAAGTTGTCCATGGGACAGCAGTGTGCCCTTGTGGCCAGGAAGGCCAATGGTATCCTGGGGTGCATTAAGAAAAGTGTATGCAGCAGAACTAGGGAGGTCCTGTTCCCCCTCTACTCTGCCCTGGTGAGACCTCACCTGGAGTAGTGCGTCCAGTTCAGGGCTCCCAATTTCAAGAGGGACACAGATCCACTCGAGAGAGTCCAGCGAAGGGCTACGAGGATGAGTGGGGGACTGGAACGCCTGCCCTGTGAGGAGAGGCTGAGAGACCTGGGGCTTCTTAGTCTGGAGAAGTGAAGACTGAGGGGGGATCTAATTAATGTGTATAAATATATGCGGGCTGGGTGTCAGGAAGGAAGGGGCAATCTCTTCTCACTTATGCCCTGCAATAGGACACGGGGCAATGGTCACAGGCTGGAGCACAGGAAGTTCCACCTCAACATGAGGAAGAACTTCTTTACTGTAAGGGTTCCAGAGCACTGGAACAGGCTCCCCAGGGAGGCTGTGGAGTCTCCTTCCTTGGAGACTTTTAAGACCCGTCTGGATGTGTTCCTGTGTGACCTGCCCTAGACTAGATGGTCCTGCTCTGGCAGGGGAGTTGGACTCAATGATCTCTGGAGGTCCCTTCCAACCCCTAACATTCTGTGATTCTGTGATACCAGGCCCTTGAATTGTCCTTCCCATCCTTTGGAAGCATTTTTGCTCTTCTAAATGAGATTGTTGTGGAGGTTTTGTGATGATAAATCCACTAGATGGCAATGTGTGTCAGCCAAAAAACCTGGGATGGTGTGTTTCAAGACCTGAGAAATGACAAAAGTCATAGTTTATGAGCACATAAGGAGAGGGCAAACAAGTATTTCACAACAGAAGGCCAGAATGTACTGAAATAAATTTGTAAATATTTTGGAAAGGTAAAGTGTTGTTTTGATTCAACCTAGGTGACTGACTGAGAGCGATTCAGTTCCCCATCTTGGTGCAGGGAACAGACACGTTATCATATTTTGCAGAATTTAATGTTTCTCACAACCTTGCAGAGAAGAATAAATGTATGTCCTAAAATAACTCATTTTGACGTTACCCAAATATGTGTTGCAATTTACAGGGTGCTGACATTTTTTCAGCAAAAGTAAATATTGAAGTGCAGAGGGCATCAGAATTAGCAATTGCAGCCATAGAAAGGAATGGAGGTGTTGTAACAACATCATTCTACGATCCGAGGAGCTTGGGTAAGAATTTCTTTTCAATTCTACCTTTTTTTTTTTTAAACATGCAAAGATTAAATGATCTAAATCAAAGTTTCAAACATAGTTCTTACTGGAAAATTATCCACCACTTCTCTTTTAAAAGCTCAGTTTTGCTTTTTTTTTCCATCTATAGCTGTTTAGCCCTACCAGTGTTAGTTGTCATTCAACAATCAGCCCATTAAAGAAATCCAAGTAGTTTTATAAGTAGAGGAACTAATAAAAGATTTTCTTTGAGTTTTTGTCTTCTAACATTCTCACGTGTTTAATAACACAAAGAGAATTCAGGGGGAAAAACAAAAACGATTTTAAAACTGCTGTGGATGTTTATATTTTTAATTTAAAATGCTTTTCCAGCTCAAGTGAGGAAATAACTAAGTTACAGAAGCTGAGAATCGTTCCAGTCAAAATGGCTATTGTTTTCAGAACACTTTCACTGAAGAATGTGGCTTTGCTTTGCTTGAGGCTGCATCCTGCCTAATACTCATTCATGCAGTTTTTATTGATGCTGATGGAGCTTTCATGTGTGAATGAGGCTCAGAATAAGAGGGATAGACTTTTAGCGTGCAAAATATGTTACCATGAAGTGATACAGGTTTGTTTTTTTTTTTTTCAAATCCAGAAAGTACTTAAAATATTAAGGTTAAAAGGATCTGGAGTGTAATTTGCCTAATTTAGTAAATCTTGAGGAAGGGAGGATATTCTCCTAAATTACTAAGTAGGTGCATGTGCCATTAATTCTTTATTTAAAATACTTAAATAAATACTAAATTGGGCATTTGATGGTATGTTGTGTAAACAGCCATGCAAATGCACTGCTTCTAATCTGGAAGTCAGTCCTTTAAATAAATGGTGATATCTACTTTAGTGACTGTGTCTAGCCAAAGCAGACATTCTAAATGTCCTGGAAATGATGATTCAGGCAGATTGTCACTATAAATATTAGTTAGAAAGAGTTGGTTGGTTGAGTGAAACTTGTAAACCACTCTCTCATTCCAAAGAATGCTCTTAAGATTTGCTTTTTTGCTTGATACTTTTTAATAAGAATTTAATAAGTTCTTTAGCACATAACACTAAATAAGAAAGTGTCATCTGATGTCTTTAAAAATGCATTCTAAAGCATGGTATCTCATTTTCTCTCATGCTTGCCCACAGAAATCTTATGTAAGCCGGTATTATTTTTCCTGCGTGGCCAGCCTATCCCAAAGCGAATGCTCCCACCTGAAGATCTCGTGCGTTACTACACAGATGCCAGCAGTCGTGGCTACCTCGCAGATCCATCCAAGGTTGCAGAAGCCAGGCTTGAACTGGCCAAGAAATATGGCTACATCTTACCAGACATAACCAAGGATGAGCTCTTCAACATGTTAAGCATGCGCAAAGATCCGAGGCAGATATTTTTTGGTCTCGCTCCAGGATGGATCATAAACATGACAGACAAGAAAATTCTCAAACCAACAGATGAGAAGCTGTTAAAATACTATAGCTCATGAATTCAGGGCTGGAGAGAACTGCAGGTGTACAGGAAACATCTGGGTATGAAATAATGGATACCAAGTGGTGTTTGTTTTTTTTGAGACTCCTGTTATACTAGACAAAACAAATTTTTGTTTATGTAATCTTCTGGTGTAGCTCTCAACTGGTTTATTGTCATAATACTAATACTTTGTAATAATACTAATTAATACTTTGTATGAAAAACCTTAACATTTGGAAGGAGCACGGAGGCTGACATGAAGCGTGTATTCCGACACTTTCTCTTGCAGTGATTTGCCGGTTATTTTTTCTCAGGCAGACATGTTTCAATGCTGCATTTATTTCACAGGATGATTTCAAAGAGGAGCGTGACCTAATCATTTATATGTCCCCTTCCTCCCCGTTTAAAATCAGAAACGTGGCTGTACAAAACTAATATTAGTTTTACGATCATTTCAGAACATAAATCATAACGTTTTACAAAACAGTGTTTTAAATGCCTCTAAGAAGTACAGCATCTATTTTTGGATGGGGAAAATTGAAAATAACCAGAAATAACAGAAGAATTTTGTTAACCTCTTCAATTCCGTAGCAATGTTTTGGATTGTGCCCCTGGCAACGATAGCAGTAGAGCTTGAGAGGTCTTGCTTTTGGTCTTACTCCTTCAGATGGAATTGAGAAATACAGGGTGTGCAGTTGAAGAGAACTTTCAATCTAAATTTAGAAAAAAAAAAGAGCAATCTTAAATCAGTGGGTTTTATTATTAAAATGTAATTTTAAAACTGTCCAAATAAAAATGTAATCCCATTAATAAAAATGTACGGGAGCATTCAGAGTCAATGAATATTAGACAGGGGCAGTAAATTGTGAAGGCTGGGAATGTGATGGACAAAGTACACAACTAGGATTCAGTTTGCAGCTTGATCACAGGTTGCATATGTGATCAAACACAGGAATTTAGATCTTGTGAAAAGTTCTGAACAAATTATTTTTATGTGAAACAGTGTTTTAATGACACCAACTTGATACAGCCTTGAAAATACTATCCAGCAAATGTTTGCTGGATCATTCTCTGCAGAATATTGTGACAATGCAAGAGGATTCAAGATTTCATATGGAAACTCATGAACCAAGCAGTAATTTGAAAGATGAGAGAGGAGACCAACTTAATCTATCAGAACTTCCTCTGACTCCTCAGAAGTTAATGAGATGCTTCATAATTACATGAACTTTAATGGAAGCTAAATTAGGCTTTAAAATAGGGGTAATTTGGCTAGTAGTATTCAGGAAATGGTCCAGAAGACCAGAAAACAAGAAATCTTGCTTTCTAATTTTCATGTGCCTTTGGAAATGCTACTTAGAGTTTCCTGTAGCTGCCAAACTGTCCCATCACCTAGGGGAAGGCCTCTGAGTGCCAGGATACCCTGTCTAACACCTGTACTTCACTTGTGTGCCTCAAGGAGGTGGGGGGAAGTAAAATTTAAAAAATATCTTCTCTTTCTTTCAGAGAATAACAGGAAGCGGATGATGTTTGTCAACCAGCTCAGATTTTTGCTTCACTCAACAAACCGACTTGTCAATTAATATGAGCATCTGTAATTGCAAAAGAAAATAAAAAAAGTCGTCTGTTCTCATGATGATTAAAGCATCTGAATTCCAGACATTAACAATAGAAAGTCACTAATTTTTGACAGTTTACTCTTCAGCTTCTCATTTGTTGTTAATGTTAGATGCTATCAGTAATGGTTGTTCTCCTGATCTGTGGTTTAAGTATAGGTGAAACGAAGCAAAACAACACCAATATAAAATGGGGTTGTGAATAGCAGGATTTTGGTCTTAGTGGTATTAACATTCATATTTTATAAGGTGCACAACGCTTTTTTGGCACATTAAGAATAATATGGTGTGCCAAAAAAAGTATAGTGTTAGCTTGAATATGAAGTAAATAACTTTCTCACTTTAGATGTATCCTGTTCTGCATCCTGATGATTGTTGGTTTGGAACCTTAAATGACAAGCAATACTTTTTTTTTTCTACTCTTTTTTTTTTTCTTTTTGTTATTACAATACTACTGCCTCCATTTGGGAAGGAGTTGGAGGGGGGAAGAGTATTTATTGCCTTCCCTTATTTGTGCCATAATGTTTCTGTTTTTATGAATCAATTCACAATTGTATTTTTGTGGCGGTGGTGGTACTCAACAGGAAAGCTACTTAACTGGAAGCGAAGAAGGAAGTTAGTCATATTAGTGAAGACCAGAAGACAAAAGTGTTTATGTATCATTGTGTATTTTTGGGAGGAGAAGAGGAGGGAAAGCAACTTTGTTTCGATTCCTGCTCTTTGTATTAAAATGGACAAATCACTGAGAGCAAACTTTTTTTTTTTTCCCAAATCAACTTCTTTGATATATACACACGCATGCATGCGCTGGTTTCTGTAGGCTTCTAAATGGTTTTCAGGTGAAAGGTAACTTGGATAAAATGATAACAGTGAAAGAAAGAATGAAAACAGGAAACAGATGTCTGGTGACGTTGAGGGGTTGGATAGCACTTATTCAATGAACGACGTCTTAGTCACAAGGCAGCTGTATCCTGGCTCTGATACTATAACACTACAAATACTTTGGAGCCAAAACAGCCACGTTCCACAAAATCCGGTCATTCTACTTCGTAAAGGTGATCTTTTATCATCTCATAATCAGAGAGGGCAAAAAGGGCTGTATGTTGTTTTATTTAAAATACGCAATGCTTGTCTTTTTTTCCTCTCTTCTGTTTACAGTAGCTAGCGTTTTATAACGGTTGTTCTGATTTTTATTTACTAGTGAAAAAAGTGGCAAGGCTATAGAGGATTTCCTGTTCATTTTATCTCGTCAGGAACACAAGTCTCCTGGCAACCTAGTGCAGAATTAGCAAAAGCACAAGTAAGTTATTTACAAGGTTTCTAATAAGTCTGTAATAAACAGTCTCCCAACAGACCATAGTCTTGAGGGTCAGGCTCTCTGATGCAAGACTCAAAGCCAACACTGGCATCTAAGGCCATTCTCTTTACTTAGGAATACATATAATGTTTTTGTGTTCGTAAGATAAATGATTGCCTTGGATATCCTGTTTTGATAGGGGGTTTAGGCAAGAAGCACCCGATCTGCTGTAACCGGAAAAGCATCAAGTAGCTGAGGAAAAGAATAATTATCTGTGCCATAAAATACTGCCAGCCATGTCACTTTTTATTATCCTACTTTGGAATGGCTCCTTGATAAAACTGATTACATGTGCAAGAATGAAATCAAAGGTCTCTGAACAAGTACACACCTTGTTATACCTATCTTGAGAATTGGAAATCACCTTTTGTACGAGAGACTACTCTAAACAGCAGCCATTCAACACTGTACTTAGAGGTGGCTGACTGCAGACTCCAAGTTAAAATATATCCATTTTCCTTTTCACTTATATCTACAACAAAGACATGCTGGCTTTTAATTCATCATATTTGATATTGCAGTATTCATCTTTCACAACGGAAAGTTGACTGTGCCATTCACTGATCTCCAAAAAGGGATAAGTCAATCTATCAGTTGCCCTGAACTGCATCTTTGCCGGCAGGGTGCCAACATTGTTTTGACACACAAGCATAATGGATGTTAGTGCTCCAGGAAGTCATATAACGGTGATCAATTATGAAGATAGCTTCCCTTTGCTATTTTATTATTTACTATTTTTACTGCTAAAATTCAAAATGCTAGTGCAAAGCTAATTGTGCGCTGTTGAACGCTCACAAGTTCTGTAAAAACTTGTCTCTGACTTGAAATTGTTGCACCAGTTCTGTATTTTAAATATTTGAAGTGTTATATTTACATATATCTAAATTAAGAAAGGTGCCATGTCTGTCCAAAATGGCCAGTCTAATATTCCAGAAGCAGATTTATTTCTTAAAATTTCCTGATGTGAAAAGATGTTGTTAGAAGTCCAGGTGTGACAGAATTGTTACCCATAAGAGGAAAATTATTAACTTTTTAAGCTACTTCTCCTAGCCCAGGTGGCCCATCTTGGTCTTTTGCAGCAGAATGTATGGCATTGTCTAAAGGATTATTTCTCAGTGGAAGCAAACTATCCTCAGATCTCTTCTGTCTCCTGCTTACTGTTCCCTCTGTTGCATCTGCATCTTCCCGAGGTCTCTTCTCACTTCTCCGTTGTAGTGGTGGGAACTACAGGGCTCAATCATTCTCACAGTGTCATCCTGTCTGGCCCATTCTGGGTTTGAAAATCTGGTTGGTTTATGTGCCTCTGGAGCAGGAAAAGTGTTGATCATTCCTGCATCTGTTTATACGGGGGGGGGGATGGGGGGGGGTCATGGCTTGAGTTTCCTGGACTGGTGTTGCTTTTGTTGTTAAAAATGTCAACAGTGATGTTGTTTGCTTGTTAACTTTGTCGATTCCCAGACACATGCCGACAGGGACGAAGGGCTTTTTGATGGATTTGGAGTTTATTCAGTCAAGGGGCACTCCTAGAAGGGTGTCTGCACTTGGGATTGCACATCCTGGATGCAAGTCTGAATGCACAGGCAGATCTGCATTCAGCACATCAATGCCCAAATCAGTCTCTCCTTGCACTTCTGCAGACCCCAAATCTGTAACATTCATTCTGTCTCCTTGATCAGATTGTCCTGTCTGGTCTCTAATCTGTAAATACAGGCAGTTTAGCCTGAAAATCTGCTGCTTCTTGATGTTAATATTTTTATTGTTTTTCCTTGGGGAGGTAAGGACAGCTAGAGGTTTGTATACATAGAGCAGCCTATGAAAAATAAGTTGATGTGTAAATTTACAGCACATTAGTTCTCTATGGACTTTTGGTGTGTGTGATGCTAATGTAGTTTGCCCTGCTCCCGTTGTGGAGTACCTTAAATTAAGGAAATAAATTCACTCTCAATATCTGACAAGGTGAATGCTTTCTTTACTTTGTTGAATGCAGCTGGGGCTCAGAGCTTCAAAAGTTGGAATCCAGGTTCCATACAAATTTGGGACAGTGAGGTATTGCCTTAATTTCAAAATTCATGAAAGTCTAGATTTACATTGCTTTCATGTAGACAACTGTTTGAGCTCATTTCATAGTCAGTAGTGATCTGATTGATAGAGTCGGTGGAGCCTCAGTCACTGTGGTTAGTATGAAGCAGACACCTGAGCAGCTGAACTGC